GCATCTAATTCTTTCTTTCTTCCGACACCCGTACGCACCCCAGAAGCATGCTTTTTCGTGCGCCCCGAAAGTACCTCGAATTGGCTTTTGCTTAGGCGCGATCTCGCTTTCGCTTTGTGAGCATGTGACATGCCAGGTGCGGCGTGACAGATAGACGAACGGGTTCGGTAAACTGCACACCGGATACTTACTTCTGCGTAGGGATTGCCGATCTGAGGCCTCAAAGTAAGGAGCGGACCTTGCGCGCAGTAAGCTTCGTGGCTTGTTGTTTGTCGGTGTCACCGTTCCGTCTCACAACAAACTGTCGGGTCTGTCGATTGACATCCACCTCGCGGGTACCAGTCTGTGCTGTGCTGTTGGAACCTGATGCCTGGAATCTCTTCGTTCCTTTAGCTGAGCACGTCCATCTCGACGTGATCGACCCTTCTTCCAGGCAGACATCTCAAAAGCATGCCTCCATGCCGATGCGGTTGTCCGTGGCGCTGCACATCGACAGTACTTTGGGTGTTCATCGGGCCAGACCAGCAAAGGCGTCGCTCCAACTCATGAACCCAAAATCTTCCATCGCCAGTGCGCGTTCGTTCGTGGACACCGGAAATGTATCTTCAAGTCACTGATACCCAGTGTCTCCGTACCGGCGAGCATCTCCGCATATTTCCTTCTCCTCCTAGGGCGATGCCAAACTTTGTCAGTCGCACAAAGAACATGCAATGGCGCTGCATGGTTGCACGATAGCCACCCAAGTCTGCCTCATCAGCCACTTGCGAGAAACCTTCCACAACATGATCAGATCGTTGCTCAATGCTAGCACGATATCCCCACAAGTGGTACAGCATTGCGCCGCTTCTCGACATGTGTTCGCCCAGTCCAATGCTTCGGAACGCCCCTTACTGTAACGAGCCCCCTTGGACAACGCAAGTAACACAGCGATGGTCCTCATCTAGCCACCTGCAGACATCCCCATCTACGAGCGTATCACTGCGTTTGAGTTTGCTGCATCCGCCATACGAACAATTGGACATGCCTCTACTCCCGCGTTTCCGCCCAAGACACAAGCGGCTTCCCGTACACGTACGACCGGCCCGAGAAAAGCTGTTCACAGTCACACATTCCTCACGGCAAGCTACAACAGCACACTCACACCCGGCCGTGTACACAAGAAGGACAGGCGTAAGACTGACAGCGGGTAGGCGTTCCGAAGGGCGCATATGCAACTAAGCGGTCTCCGACAGTCGCCCAGAGCGTTTCGCTGCTCAGCCTCTCCGTGCGCTGTACCAGTTCCAACGGCGTGACAGCTGAGCCTCTGTCTATGCTTTTCCCATTTTGGCGTTGTACTAACAAAGGCGAACGTTCACGATCGACCATGGTTTCCTTTTGCACACCCCCAATTAGCAAGGTTTGCCTTTAGTGTGCCATATCGCCGGCATCCCACGCGAAGCTGCATGATCAGCCCATGAGCACAGGTCATTGGGCATACGACAAGAGCGTCCGGGATAGCCCACTGGGTGGTAGGTGCCCAGCGCTTTAGACGACGACTTGTCTTCTTTTCCTTCCACGGTTCTCTTCACGCGTCATACGCTACGATGTCTTTGACTCTTCAAACCTTGCTGCGAACATGCATGAACCAGGTAGCGCGATATCCAGACTTCGGGACACTATTATCGTCGACTTCGCCTCCTAGGCAGAACGCATATAGAACGCACGTAGGCGATGCCCGACGCTGGGATGGCCGCATGGCATGGCATAGGGAGCTAGCTACCGAACCCGCGAGCTCGTACGAAGGAAAACGAGGATGCAGCGAGGAAACTTGGATCTGCGGTGGGCTAGTGAGGCGGACTCATGGCTGTGGAAGCTCGCAGGTATGTATCCGAGTATATTCTACGGTCGGCTTCCTGCGTTTGTAGCGGAGGAAGGAGAGGAAGAAGAAAGGTTTGGGCAGAGATCGCGTCTTGGGCAGCAATAGATTGAAGGTTTGTTGGCGAAGTATGACCCTTATCATCTTGCTGTACGGGCCAGGACCCGGGAGAACGAGCTCAGCCTCGTCATCGCATCGTGAGTCTGAACACGTCGACAAGGCCTACTTCAACATTCCGTCATCGTGCCCACACCCACGCCTCTCAGCACGGCCATCCCTTACAAAAGCACATCATCAACGCAAAGCCCAAAGCCCAAGCTCTTCGAAGCTCTTCGAAGCTCAGTTCCCTTCCTGAATCAGCACCTTGCACTTTGCATCTTACATCCATGCGTTCTCTTCGCCCCACAAGCACCAGGCATACAGCGCCCATGCAGCTCACGGTGTACGTACCCGGCTCAACCCAGGCTTTTGCTGTCGAGTCTCTGGTTGCACGACGCGAAGGATGCGATGGGGGTTGCTCGCAGTGCTTGCGTCGGAGAATTTATGTTGTGTTAGGGAGCTTGAGAGGTGAGGGTTGGTGTTGTGTTACCGGTGTGTGTGGGGGATAGTGGAGATGGTTCACTTGGGTTATTAATCGCATACAGCGCACGGTAGGTATAGTATATGAATGAAGGGGTTTCGCGTATGTATGCAATGAGACGATAAGAAAGATGTGGAAAGAGAAGGGTTTTTTCCAGCAGACCTCGAATGTTTGTGAGGATGGTGAGCTCACAGTCTGCATATGAAGATCTGCACCAAGTTCTGGTAAATGGCAATGACAGTTGGAACTCGATGCGATTTGCATTGAATAGACGAAACTATGCTTTGCTATATACGTGCGTTTTCTGACCTTGATAGTGCTGTTCTTCTGAGCTGGATGTGTGCGAACACGCTCGTTCTTTCCCAATCGTTAGCCCCTAAGCCCCATTCGGCCTAGTTTCTGTACGCGGTAAACACTGAGATTCTTTTCGCAAGCGTCATCTTTCTCCATGACAGTAGATGGTTTGCGCACGGGTACATCGGTGTCATATAGGAAACACAAGTATTCCATTCGCTCTAATGATCATTTTACCCACAAACGCAGTTTACCCATGACTGCGTTAGATCAACCCGCCAGTTATGATGGTCCGCAGGCTCGCATAGCCCGTAGCCTGGAGCGTGTTCAGGCCAGCCACTTTCGCGCCTCAGGCTACCCAAAAGCGCTCAGCCTCCTGCGCTTACTCCGCCTTGATGCTGTCAAAACACCACAGGTGCTTAATCTTTGCTACAGCACGGGAGTCGCAGACATTGCAAGTCGGGTCGCACCCTAGCTTCCGTCCACAACTCTACAAGACGCCCTTTTACGAAAGCTCATGTCGTCTCAACAGCCTAGCGAACATCCGCACACAGCCTTACCGCAGCTATGGAGCTGCCACCGAAGCATGTGCGCTTTACGCATACTCCACTGAATTTCAAAGACAAGGAGATACGCCTCATAACGATCGAACCAACTGTCGACCCATCGAGGCCTATTCAAATCACCATGAGGAACATCGATTTCAGTGAACATATTGAAGCTGTCACTCGTTACCGTGAGGTGGTAGCTGCACGTAATTCTAGCGAATGGGTTGGTACAGAGGAAAGAGAGGCTATATATGAGGCGTGCTTCCAAGAAACTTTCGATTTCATCGCGTTATCGTACACTTGGGGCCCCGAATTGCCAGTGCAGGACATTTTTGTTACAAGCTCCGAATGTCGAGGTTGGCTTTCGATACGCCAAAATTTGTACAACTACCTAAAGATGAAACGAGACTGGCTTTTGGTTCGGCAACGCATCCGTATGCGTAAGTTCCTGGAGGTACCTATCTCCCACTATGCGCTCAGGAGATCACACATGTTAAAACGAGATCGCGGGTTGGCTCCAATCTGGATCGATCAGATCTGTATTGATCAAGAAAAAAACGAAGAAAAGGTTCACCAGGTCAATCAAATGGCAGAGATATATAGCGCAGCCTTCGTCGTTGAGGCTTGGCTATGTTCTGGATTCGAAGGAAGCGACGATCTCATGGACATGATCATCCAAGAAAGCTATTCCTCGCGCCGGCATATCCCATCGAAGCTCTTCGTGAGCAGGCAGGAGATGCGTAAATCAATACCTTTATTGCGCCAATTCGCACGTCTAGCATATTGGTCGAGACTATGGGTCACTCAAGAAATCGTACTCGGTAGGGTCGTTCATGTACGGGTTAGCTCGAAGATCCTTTCATGGGACACATTCTACGAGGGCTGGAGGACGTTGGTATCAGCCTGGAACTGTCTGCGTAAAACAGAGCAAGACGAAGATCTGACAGACGAGGAACACAAGGGGTGTAATCGAATATACACTATTGACCGAAGTCGAGCCATGGCACAAATAGACTGGAGGTCTGTCAAGGATTTGATTCGGGGAACAGTATGCTCGAAATGGCAAGATCGAGTATTTGGTATGATGGGTATGCTAGATCCATCACTTCGAATATTCCCGGACTACTCCATGCTTCCGCAAGAACTTTTACTCAAGATTGTTACTACACAAGTCAAATCGTCCCATGCTAATATCGGCAATGGCTTTGCGAGTCGCCTGGACAACTCTTCTGCAGCTTATAACCGCACACACATGTGTATATTCATGGCGCAACAGTGGTTCATAATACTCGATGACGATGACGTTAAAAGCAGAATCAATCCAAGATCTGTTCGCCACCATTTGCTCAAGACTTTACATCCCGATCCACCAATTTTCGGCTGCAGAATTGGAAAAACGTGGCAGCTCAATATTGATTTGTGGTTGATGATACCAAACATGCGCAGCATACGGTGGCGATTTGTGAGGGGAGGCATTGAGCGTTCGATTGAGAGTCGGATACGAGAGCATTGTGATATTCCCACCGAAATACCCCGTGTTTTTGACCTTCCTGTCCTATTTTCGGAGGCAGATAGCGATTAGCGGCGTAAATTCCACAGGTCATTATTTTTGGCATTGCCTAATATGCGATCATTTGTCCTTTGGAATCCATGTCAGAATGAAGCATGTGCATGGAAGACGCGCGTAGGGTAGTACGCTGGTATTCATGAACTACACACAAGCTTAAACATCTACCTTCCTCTTAATACCTAACGTCTTCGCAAAATCCTTCTTGGCCTTCTTCGCCGGCCTAGACACTGAGAACTCCACGTTCAGCGACCCTCCACGTGATTCAGAATCCAGCGAACATCTCTTCGTCCCCCTAAAAACAGCCCTCGCAATCTCCGCATCTTCCGCATCCTCAACTTCCCTCGACGGTGCAAGGATAGCCGCGCTACACCCCTTATCAACGCCCCCTCTCCGTGCATTCGCCGCTCTAATCTCATCCAACGCATCAGCAACAGCGCCCTCAACCCTCGCATCCTCAGTCTTTCGTTCCAGCATCTCCATAGTCGCTTTCTCATCGCCTCCTTCAAGTTCCTCAACTTCAAGACGATTTAAGCGCTGCTCTTCGGTATCTTTAGCGCGCGCATTGTCTCTCCAAGCCTCATACCCTCTCTCGGCCCCACTCACAATCCTATAATCCATGTTCTTGGGGTCGGTTTCGATGATGATTTGTGCGGTGCAGCCAGGACATTTGCAGTGTAATGTGATAATCTTTACGCCGAGGTAGGTTTCAGGCGCGATGTGTTTGGGGCTGTTGCGGAAGACTTTGCCTTTGGTGGTGTAGTGGCCGCAGGTCAGGCAGCGCATGCTGCGGAAGGGGCAGGCGAAGTTTACGACGGTGCGCGTGGGAGTTGAGGATTTCTTTGAGCGCACTAGCTTTGCTGGGTCAAAGTCGGCAGGATAGTACTTTTGGAGGGTCTTGCGCTCGGCCATTTTGGTGGAGTGGAGAGGGGGATGGGGGGTTGAGGAATACGTGGGTGTTTGTGGTGGTGGAAGTTTTGTGAAGGTGGAGCTGGGAGGTATTCGCGGTGTGTTGTGCTGAAAAAGGTTGGGAAGGATAAGGGGATGAGAAGGGACTGGGTCTGCATATGAAGGGCGACGAGTACGTGGGCGCTGATGGTACCATGGGCGAGTGACGAGTTTCTACCCAATGAGAAGAACCGAGTTACATCAACTCGACTTGCTGCCAGCGACAGCAGAGTAACGCTCACGCACTGCCCACATTTCGATTGCAGTTGATGAAGACAAAGGACGTTGTTCTTCGAGTTATGTCAACCATAACACGCCCTGGCGGATACATCACACTCACATAATCAGTACGTCGACGTAAAACGCAGCGAATACCTCCACGCTACACCGTAACAACCCAATCTATTGAGAAAACAATAGAGCTACCATAATCTTCGTAGCCTGAAAAGCGCCCCTAGTACGAACAAGAGAAGCAAAAGTTTGGGGTATCTTCTTAAACGCCACACCACCATGTTCTGTCTCAGACCATACTTGCGGAAAGGCAGCCTCGACGCTGACGTCCGACTCCGCTTCGCCTGTCCAGTCGAAACTTATTTGCCAGTTGAGTTTTAGTAGGACGTGTTTGTCTTGCAAGACCAGGGTATCACGACCCAAGTTCCTGCTCAGGTCTTTGCGTGTGACAGTCGTTGCGGGCTTGCCTGGTTGCAGTCGCTGTGCGTTCTCGGTGTCTTCTGCGGTCTGGCCTACGAGTAAATGCGCAAACGCAGTCTCGCACTTGTGCCAGTGTTGCGCCCGCTTCTTCGCAATCTCCCAGTACGAGTCCATAGCCCAAGACGCATTGCCGAGATCTCTTTCCTGCGCTTTCGACCGCATGAATGTACCCAGCTCACGTTCAGCCCACGTCGAGATTCGTAGAAGTTGCATTTCGATAATCTCACTTGCTAAGGCGTCGATAGTAATCGAAACCTGGGCTGTGAGCAGCTTTTGTGGACCTGCTATGTCGATGGTATGCTTTTGATGGACCCGCCGTGATGTTGGGGATATCTTGCCGCGCGGAAGGCTGAGTTGTGTGGAGAAGTTGAGGGATGTGAACATTTGGAGGTATGGCAAGGGATCTGCGAGTTCGACTGGGCGATGTGATGGGACGGGCTTCTCCTCTTGTTTTGGCCGTGGTCGAGGAACGGAGAGGGCGGCGAACGGTAGGAATGAACAGAGCAGACTCGATACGGTTGCTGGCTTCTCTGGCTCTGTATCGGTGCTGCTGATATCTGATATGAACTTCCTGGTATTGTGTCAGTCACAGTTTGGCTATCATTGGAGCGTTTTGGACTCACTTGAGACTGTCGCGCTCTGGAGACCGCAGAGGATCCTCAGGCCCGCGGCGCTGCTCCTTAACGACTTCTTCGATGCATCTTGACACCTGTGACTCCAACTCTTCCACTTCACGCTGTAGACGCGCCTTTTCCTGTTTCCTTCTCTCAATTTCTGGATCTGGACGCTGCCTCTTCTGCACCACTTCTTGAGTCATCTCTTCGGTTATGTCTTCCACTGGGCCATCTTCTACCGTCCCTGTGAAATCGTCTGATTGTACCGCTGGCGCTCTCGAACTCGGTGGGGGTTGCTTGATGGGATCTCTGACGCGCGAAGGTCGCTTGCTTGGCGAGGAGAAGATCATCGTTCGGCGCGGCTGCTTTGACGTTGTGCGGATGTTCTGTGGTGGTGTCCCTGGGAGTTCTGGCAGGTCGCTCTCGCTAGGTAGTTCCACTTCGGTCTCTTCCCTTCCTGTGGAGCCATTTCTGGCTGCTACAGGTCGGTTTGGGTTGCGCTTCGGAGATGCGGAGAGAAGATTCGGGTAGTTGCGCGCAAGGCTGGCTTTGGTAGGCGACGCGAAAGATGGTCGTCGCGGAGGTTTCCTTAGAGGACTGGACGCTTGTTCCGTGGGCGAGCTGGTCCTCCTCCGTTTCGCCGGTGGCTCGTTCATGATGTTCGCATATGAGGCTTTCGCAAGATCCTCAATTTCGGCGCGTATTTGGGGCGCTTTTGTGGTGATAATATGTCGGGGATTGGGGATAGATGGGCTGGTGGGGTATGCGACGATAACAGTGAATGCGACGCGTCGGCGCGTGTTGTTGCCCTGTCGGCGTTCGCTGCAGCTTTTGCCGACGTTCGGAAAGGTGGCGCAAAATGACGTCGAAGCGTCAATCGTTACTTTCAATCAGCTGCGAATTGGCAACCGACAACAGTGGCTAACTTCGACATGTCATAACGAAGCGGCTCGTGTGATTACTTCATCTCTTCACGATTTTTCGGGGCCAATGGAACGCATCGCATACTCCGGGCAACTGGCATTGCGCCAGGAGCTCTGCGCTTCGTGCTTGAAGACATGGCGCAGGTCGCGTGCTTCGACAGAGGCAGGGCGAATAGGGCTTCAAAATAGCAATCGGATACAGCGTCGCTACAAAGGCTATGTTGCACCAGAAGGCGAACAAGCCAGGCCTATCACCGGCTTCTATGCAGGTTGGACCCTCACCCACATCGCCAGCGGTACTCGAACTAACAAGATCTAGACATGCTGAAGAAACCGCTGTCAGAAGTACAACCCCTATCCCACACAACGCCCGACCCGCCAAAAGAGCCACCGAAGACGCAGAAGGAAGAGACATTTGCAAAAGCCCGTATAATCTTTGGGTCTACGACGGCCTTGGAAGAACGTAAACAGGAGATCATGAAATCGTCCCAGAATGTTGCCGGCGTACTAGTCCCTCCGCGACCCGAAGAACCAGACAACTGCTGCATGTCTGGATGCGTGAACTGTGTATGGGACATGTATCGAGATGAGATGGAAGAGTGGGCGGAGAAGAGCGCCCAAGCAAGAGCGGCAATGCAGGCACAACGGCAGGAAGGAAAGGGAACAGGCAGCATGGTGGCAGGAGACACATCACCGAGTCATGTTGCTACGAGTATGGACGACGATGGCGGTGGCAGTGAGACGAATTGGGACACTGGTTTCGATGATGCGGAGAAAGACAAGTTGTTCGATGATATACCCGTGGGCATTCGGGAGTTTATGAGAACGGAGAAGAAGTTGAAGCAGGCGCAGAAGAAGGCGGAAGCCGCTGCGGCAGCGTGAGCCTCGAACTCGGCAATACCCATACAGTCATCTTGCCATTCAAATACCCATCCATTACATATCTTGCGATATTCCATCCTATGCCCCAAAATAACACCAATTATGCTGCACCCCAATCTTCCATCTCGTCTAATCTTCGCCGACATCTACGCCCTTTGCCTGAAGATCTTTCCGCGCCTCTGCTATTTGCTGCATGAGCTCCTTGTGCGCGTCGGGTACGTCGTTGAAGGTGAAGACTCCCCAGCCGAGCTTGAAGAGAAGGTATGCGCCGAAGGTGATGAGAGCCCAGAAGGGGAGCTATGGTTTGGTTAGCGGCAGCCCAGTACAATAACAATGGAGATGGTAAAGGTGGTGGGCCAAGGCTTCTAAGTAAAGGTGAGACTTACGAAAGGGACAATCTCCTCTTGGATCTTCTGAGGCAGCGGGACGACTTGGAGGAATAGAGAGAGGTAGATCTGTCACATGTTAGCATCCAATCTTGTATATGTAGAGGTAAGGGGCTGCATACGGAGGTGAGGAGCATGCCAATGCTGATGGTCTGCGTGGCGCGCGTCATGTTGGCGAATTGGTTGTTGTAAACGGGTTAAACGAGGGTCGGTGGTCGGAAGAAGTGCGGGTGAGGGCGTGGTGCTCGACGTCTGTGGTGGTGAATGTTCGGTGCCAGATCGCTCAATTGCCGCCAAGGGATCTGTGTCCAGGGGTCCAACGGAACCGGCCAAAGGCAAGGCCAACCGCGCGGTGGGTCGACGCTGCCGCAGGAACTCACCCCGTTTCTTTCCGCATCTGCAAAAAACAAGTGGCTGAACTATTGATTGCACTTTTTCTGGAGTTCTCCTGAAACCAATCCGACTAGTAGCCATCACCTGTACGGCGGCTCCGGACGACTGCGTAGCCGTTTCATCCTTGCGCAATCTCTACCGCCACTATGCACTCTTGAGCTTTGCCACGACTTTGAGCGACTGCGTTTCTTCATCTTCACACTTTTGCGATATGCCATTATCCAATGAGGAGCTTGGCGACTATATAGCGTCTTTAGAGCGCCTACTCCAAGCCAACCCTGCAGGCCAGACCGCTGTCCTCACAGGTTACGTGCATAAGCTCGATGCGTTTGCAGCAAGTGGGGACAATGAGGCCATAGAGAAGACCTTGCAGCTGTTTGGGACGGCTGTTGGCGGTCGTAGTATGTTATGCCTCTGTTCAAAGCCAACCCTGCTGACAATGTATAGAAAGATGGCAGGCCCCGTTCCGCGACAGCGGCATCCTTGCTTACGCTCTTCGTGGCTTGTCTACCGTTCGCCATGAAGATCCCGTAGCAAAGCAATACCTGAGAGTCATCGGCAACTCGGTTGCTGATAATGGTACTGTAACCTGAAGAGACCCTCATATGACGCAAACAGTCTGACTGGAGTCAAGATACCAACAGAGAGCTCGCCGTGAGAGAGCTCGGTGCCATCGCTGGCTGCCTTCCCTCGCCAGAACTACGCTTGACCACTTTGGCCGTACTTTTCAATCTTTGTAATGATTTTGGTGAGCAATGCCACAGGATCCTCGAGACATGCAGCTCATGCAGATAGAACCCGGCAAAGCTGCAGCGGCTGCTCTTAGACTGGATGCCACAATATGCACCTTCCTAGTACTGGACAGAATCCCGGAAGCAGCGCTGGATTACGCCACGGACCTGCTGAGCTGGACCACAAGCAACCTGAGCGACGCCCAGTTCAAAGACGAGGTTTCGCTGGAGACATTCAAGAGTCTGCTGAACGTGGCACTGCAATATGATGAAGACCATCATCTGGAGTACGTGGCCATCCTGGTACATTACCTCCAAGACCCAGAGTTCCAGCAAAGGATAGCAACACCGAAACTTCTCGACGACCTTGTCACCCTGATGCTGGAGTTTGAGGCCCGATTGGAGCCAGAGGACATCGAAGCCGTCTTCCAGGAACTCGCAACAAGCAAAAACGCGGACACAACCACATCAGACGAGGCGCAGGTTATTCTAATGGCTCAACTCATCGGGCTGCTATCTGCCGCTTCAGCAACAGATGTGTTTGCACGAAGCTTCAATGTCAGAAGTCCTGTTATCGAGAGGCTGGAAGCAAAGTTGCGCGCACCTTGGGAGAGCGCATACCCATCTACGATATGCGCTTGCGTCATGGTCGGAAATCTGGCCATGTCTGATGAGGTTTGCATAGACATGGTCAAGATCATGGAACTTCACGTTCGATTGATTGTGATCCTCAAGAAGAGCACTAAACCTGCCCTTCTTTATGCTGCAGCTGGTTTCATGCGGCATCTTACGTTTCCAGAGGCTAACAGGGCTTTGCTTGCAGATGCCGGACTCATGGAAGCGTGTTGTCGCATGCTCGTACTGGACGATCCTTCAGTCCGTGGCGAGGCAGCGGCTATGCTATGCAAGCTCGTCACCGGCAACTTCTACAACATCGAAAAGGTCATGTACGAGACTGTCGGCCCTGACACAGAAGCCATCGATCCAGACGTCTCAGCCGACACCGTAATCTTCTCCCATATTGTCGAGCAAGCCCTCGCTCCGTCCGCACCATTACCAAGCACTACCATGAAGAATCCAATGATCGAGCTTGGCCGCACCATCGTCGCCATGCTGCGATATCTCGGGCGACCAAACGCCGAAAAGGACGTTGAAGCAGTGCAAATACAGATCTTACAAGTACCCCAGATAGCCAAACCGATCGCCCAACTTGTACGGCAGCGCTTCTACCCGGAAGCCCGATCCGAAGGACTACTCGGCCTAGGCCTACTAGCCCAAACACTCGAAGGCGCCGCAGCAATTGCTGAGGAGATCAAAGAGGACAGCGGCCTCCTCGAAACAATTAAAGAGCACGCCAACGCAACAGAAGCAGGTCTCGCGCAGCAATCCCCTTCAACAGCTAGCCGAGACCACCAAAACGCGATTGTGCTGCTCCAGGCGCTGCAGAACAATGCGGTAAGAGAACTCCAAGAAGCTGTCGGGGAAGTACTAAGGACTTCCAGACTGACCAAATGGACGCAATACTCTCGCATTAGACAATCTCTGTCTAAGCACCAAGGGCGTCGCTCTTCTGGCGACGTTAGCACACTGGGAAGCCCTGGAGGCGCCTCGCCTGGGAGAGTCAGAGAGTTGGCTCGCAGGGCTACTACGGATGCGCCTGGCATGTCGCCGGGGAGGGCTAGGGGGTCTACGCTTGCCAGTGAAACCAATTCAGATGAGCGACCTCGGACTCCTGTGAGAGTTCGGGAGGTCATTGGCGAAATTGAAGAGGTTTCTCCGAAGACGATGATCAAGGAGTCGCCGGCGAGGGAACGGTTAAAGGGTAAAGGCATGAAGCGGACCAATACGGCGCCACAATGATTTCGATGATGGTTATGTCTTATGTTTTTAGTATCTACTCTACTTCTTCTTAATAATGCACTCTCCACTTATGACAGCTATAACTGGTACTGCTGTTGATGTGATGTGATGTGATCGAATGTTGTGGTCGCCACTACATCTAAGCTACATGTTCCGAGGAGACTCCCACCTAACACCACCTCACGCCACTTACGAACCACCGTACATATCAATCAGATAACCCTCAAACGATCTCCAACAAATGGAAGAGAAGCGAAAAGCAGTGAATAATCAGCACGGTGGCGCCTGCGAGTCCTGAGCCTCACTCCGCACCATCAGCGTAATCAAGAGGGCCCTGATTGGCCGGACGAGCCACTCACGTGGATTCACGCGCTAGTAATCCAGGGTCCATGACATAGTACATGGAAGAGTAGTTGGGTATAAAGAAGGGCTGTCTGTCGACATATTGAGGGTATCTACAGTTCAAATCTACCAATACTACCTACACTACTTCTCGACCTTACCTTCGATCCCGCAAACCAACAACAACAACTGCATCCTCAACTCTACCAACCAACCACCACAACATCCAAGATGGTCTGCTGCGGACGTAACAACGGCACCTGTGTGTGCGCTCAAGAGGCAAAGTGCTCGTGTGGAAAGCAGCCTGCTCTTCAATGCAGTATGTCGCTCCCTTCTTTCCTTCACCTCATGCCCTCTCTCCCCAGTCCGTATACCCAATATCCACCACCTACCACCTACCGCCCACCACCTTGTACCTCTTTCATGTATACTGACGTATCAACAGCCTGCGACAAAGCCGCCACGGAGAACAAACTCCCCACCGACTCTTCAGCATGCGCTTGCGGAAAGCGGACAGAGGATGCGTGCAACTGCGGTCGCGCTGACAACAACGGATCGAGCAGCCTCGAGACCGACTTTACTACTAGCAAGTAGAGAGATGGATGTGGTATGAGGGTGTGAGCCGTATGGGGTTTCGTGGTGTGTAGCATGAGAGGGTGTTTTTGGCGTTTACATGGGACGGTCGAAGGATCGAGGGTATACCTGATATTAGTGAATGATGATTTGAATGTTCAGACTTATTCTGTGGTGTCTTGTGTTTGTGATCGGCGCGTTGACGCGTCTTGCTGTAGATGCGCGTATTCTCTCGACGCATGTCCTTGTCCTTGTCCTCACTGTCCATCGTACAATGTCTTCGGGGTCATACTGGAGACTTTCGCGTTCATAGGAAACAGGTGTTGTACAGTGGACGCCGCCGCCGCCTTCTCGGTCTCTATGTTCCTAATCGTGTTGCGATGGTATCTCATCGATAGCTTGCGGAGCTCGGGGGAGAGCGGCGGCACGGTCGGACGTGTGTACACAGTAAGCTTCGAGGCTATCGCGGCTTTACTGAAAGGTGCCCTGTTCAGTACTGTCCAAAATTGAATGCATTGACCTGCGCTTGCCATAAGGGTCAAGATCGCGATGTCTTGCTCCTACTTTGACTCGCACGGGCAGGAGCTACACGCTAGACCCTGTTTGCTTGGCATCCATGTGTAGAACATCCACTTATTCCCCCCGTCAGTCGTGCATGCAGAGAAACAGCTAGATAGCTTGCCGGGGTGTTGTGCGTCTTCCTTGCTCGTTCCAA